TGCACAACGGATAACACTTAAAAAAAATTCATCTGATCCCACCAGACACTTGGTGTTTATTTGAAGCAAAAAAAATACAAAAATTGAGACTATTTTTATTATTCCGTGCCTTTTTGTTATTTAATGTTTGCAGGTAATGTAGCCCCTGCGTGTGTGTAAAAAAAAAAAAAAAAAAAATAGTAGAGAGAAACACGGGGTCAGTGGGTTCAAGCTTTTCACTGAAGGTTTGCACGCGACCTCAGCCGAGGATGTTTCCAAACTCGCTTCGTGATATTGGAAAATGTCACGTCGCGTTTACCCCCGCCCCCGACTGCCTCAGCTCAAACGGCCGATAAAATATCTGAAAGAAAAAACAAACGAAAGAGAAATATTTCCAACTGATTTTAAAACACGGCCTTGTTAACATTTGCTACCCCATGTCTTGTAGTCTTTTTTTTTTTTTTTTTTTCTTTTGAAAACCTAACAGGAAATGAACGCAGCACTGACATCCCATACTGTCTTCATCCGCTTTGACTTTTTTTCTTTTTCTTCTCTCACCTCACAAAAAATTTTATTCTTTTTTTTTTTTTTTTTTTTTTTTTTTTTGGGCAATAAACTGTCACGGAGAGAAAAAAGCCTGTATTATTTAACAATCAGTGTGTATACTTGTACTTTGTGTTGCTCCTATGTAAAGTTTACGTGTTATTTTCCATTGTTACGCTCCTTCTCATGAACACTTGTCAGGAACTGAAATCTAAAGCGACGCGGTTAGATTCTGCTGGTACGTTTCATAAAGGGGATTTTTTTTTTCTTTTTATAAGAAGGGACAAACAGATCTGACAACAGTGAGTGAAATTGGCATTGTGATTGTACATGTTTGTTTATTTTTAAAAAATAAATAAAGCCGGTATTTTGTAACTTAACTCTTCCCTTTCTCAATGTCAGATTTTTACCTCATCCAACACATCAGATATTATTTTCTTTTTTCTCAGTTAGTAGAATTTTCTGCATGTTTATTTGCTTTTTTAATTTTTTAAAATGTATGTTTTCTTGGTATATATTTACTTTGTTGTGTAAATCTTATTTATTTAATCATTTATCTAGTTATAAATGTTTATTTTATTATAATTATCCAATTTTATTTTATTTATACTTTAGTTGTTTATGTTTACCAGAATTTCATAGATTTTTTTTTTGTTTATTTAAAAAAATAAATCAAATAACATTTAATTTATGTTTTCTTAAATGTAATTTTAACTGATTTTCTCCTTGTTCTTAGAATTCATTTGGGTATTCCATCTATTAGTTTATTTATTTTTTCTTTGGTTTATGTTTATCTAAATGGTCACCAAAATTGATTCATTTACTTAATGTTTTCCAACTCAAACGTGTGAAACATGGAGAAACTTTTAAAAAGTAACCTTAAATGTTAAAACAGGAGCAAAATCAGTTACGTAAAGCTAAAATAAACACCTGAAAGGACCACGTCCCAACCAATTAGGCGTCATGGCAGCGGTCCAGTATCACGATTTTTTTTTTAAATCGTATATTAAAAATCGTACATTTAAAAAAAAAAAAAAAGTAAGGGTTTTTTGGAAAGGAACCC